CCGAGCCTGATCCTTAGGGGCGGTTGCCCGCGGAGTCTTGGCGACGCGCGGCATTCGGACCTGGGCTTTCGTTCTGGTGTAGAGGCCCCGAAGGGAGGGGTCTAGCCCCCAGCCCTCTGCAGAGGGGGGAGCTGAGGAGCAGCGAGCTCGAGGCCGTCTCGGCACACGGCGAGCCTTACACGTGTTCAAGCCCCGCTCTGAAGCCCGCCCAGAGCCGGGGCACTGAGATGCTCCGTACATCCTTCGTGCGAAGTGGAAGTTGAAGGGTTATTTTAGGAGGAAAGTTGAGGAGTGGCCTTTGAGTTTAGGTAGCTAATAGAAAATTTTCGAAAAGTTTAGTTGTAATTCTTATTTGGTCGAATTTAGAGGAACAAAGATAAAAACAAACTTGTAGTCTCAAAATCAGTACTTTTAAAAGTTCACAATAACTACCTTCGTTCCCTGCACTACCCTTGAATGAACAGCAAACAATGTTTAAGGGAAAGAATTGTGCCCAGAATCAGCAGCATCAGTTTAATCTACGATGTCACTTCGTTTTTGCAAAATGTATGCTCTCCTGATAAATTAGAAACCAAGAAGGGGAGGGAAAAGGGTGTTCTGTGTGAACTGTTCAGAATTGGATGTGAAATGTTGCCAATTGTTTGCACACACTGAAGGGCTGTATGTTGGTTTGCCACGAGTCAGATGACTTGAATAAATGCTTCCTGAGCACTTTTTCTCTGGCTCGGGGATGTAGTGAGCAGTGAGACAGGCCTGTTTCCATCCTGTGGGCGCTTTTGAGCAGATGTGTGAACATCCGTGCAGCCTCTTGCCAGGTTGACTGGCAGCAGAGCTCTGGGTTGGCATCCAGGAGGACTGAGGTTGCTAGCTGGTGGCTAGGGCTAGATGTTGCAAAATGGTAGTTTAAATGGTCTACTATTTCACTTACCTGTCCATACATTTTTGCAATGTGTAAGTTTTGTTTAAAATGTACCTTTTTGAACTGTATATATCAGAGCTCTTAAAATAATATTTTTATTGTACCACTGAACTAAAACTCACCTAGCCGCAAATGAGATAGAGGTATGATTGATAGACCCCCTACTACATGTAAAAAGCTATTATGTTGAGATGTTGACTTATTATGTAGCATTCTAATAATATTAAGATATCTGTGTAAAATTATTGAAATAACAGGGCAATTACTACCTTTTTTTTGGATGCAGCAACAGTATCAAAGTGCTTTATTTTGGGCGGATAAGGTAGCTTCACTCTCTCGTGGTAAGTAACAAATTCTAATTTTTCTGATTTCTCTATTAAAAACCTGTCTCCTTTACCTTGAACTTCTGACCATTTGTGTGAATTTCCCTCCAGAGGAGCCCCAGGACATTTACTGGCTGGCTCAGTGTCTTTACCTGACAGCCCAGTATCACAGAGCCGCTCATGCACTTCGGTCACGAAAATTGGACAAAGTAAGTGATTGTATGAACCTCAGAGCTTTTGAAAATGTCATGAGGTTAGTATTTTAGGTATATGTTCTTTTCATGTAAAAATATTTTAAAGGATTCAATTTTTCTTATTAAATGAAAAGAGAAAATTTCTTATTCCTAATCTGTCACCTTGTTTTTCCCTCTTCACACCACCCTACTTAGTCACCAAGTTTTGAAAGTTCTGTTTTCTAAATAGTTCTGAAAGTGTGGATATTCCTTTCCATGTCATCACTCATATATTTCAGGCCTGTAATTTGTCTGTTTTGTTGTTGAAGCCTCTCTCCTTTCTCAAAAGGACATGTTTCCCACACCCCACCTTTCCTGTCTCTGGTTTACCTTTTAAACTTACACAGGGTGGTCTTCCTAAAACACAGGTATGATTATATCGCTCACAGTGTCACTCAGTGATTTCCCATCACCTACAGAATAAAGTTAGATGCTTCATAGACGCCCAGGGTCCTTCATGATCTCTCTACAGTCTCTGTCTGACCCGCCACCACCATCAGTACGTGTCATATGTACCCAGCCGTGCTGGCTGCTTTGCAGTTCCGAAGCTGTGTGACACCTACTCGGGCTCCGTGCCTAGAACGCTGACCCTCTCCCCTACAGATGTTTTCTTCTTCAGCTGCCTCATAGTTTCCATGCCCTTTCTTTCATGGTTTATGTCTCCCTTGCTGCAGACTCCTTGAGGGCAGATCCCTACTCCCTTTTGAATCCTTGGTGCCTGGTAAACAGTAGGTTCATGATTATGAGTTAAAGAGTCTGTTTTTTTTTTTTCCTCTGCAAGAGTAAAGGAGAAATTATGAGAAAAGCTTCCTTGACTTCATGCTTATAGTTTTCTTTGGAGGGAAGGTGCATGTTACCTTGATCTCGTTGTTAATAGACTGATTTCTTTCCTAGTTGTATGAAGCATGTCGCTACCTTGCAGCTAGGTGCCACGTGAGTATGCGCTCTGTCCCGCTTCTGTTTGATGAGGGTTCGTGACGTGGGTGTTGTGTGTCCCTCCTGAGTGTGAGTTCCAGTAACGGAGCTTGCAGACTAATAAAGTATTTCCTAAGGAAATGTCCTTTTTTTAGTATTATTTGCTATAAATATTGATTCTCCATTTGCTAAAAGTTGACATGCATGAAGAAAGTTTTACTTGAGACATTTTAAATTGAAGTAATGAGTGGGTATAATTTAGACCCTTTTAGAATCTACAGTGTTTGTGTGTGTCTCTAGTGTCGGAAGTCACAGGTGACGAATGCTTCTTCTGTTTTCTACACAGTTTGCTGCAAAGGAGCATCAGCAGGCTCTCGATATTCTTGATATGGAGGAACCGATCAACAAAAGGTTATTCGAGAAATGCTTGAAGGATGAAAGTGGTGGCTTGAAAGACCCCTCCAGTGACTGGGAAGTGTCTCAGTCCTCAGTAAGTGAGTCTCATAGGCGTGCTTCAGCGACATCAGTGAGAATTGCCCACGTGACATGGCAAACATAAGTCTTCTTTTGTTTGCATATAACCGTGTTAAAACAGTTTGATTGCCAATTTATTTAATTTGCCCAAACCAAAAAGATTCTGAGACATTTCTGAGCCATCGTTTAGAAATTGTAACTGTGTCCTCAGATGGTTGAATCTGAAATAGGCGGACTTAAGATCTTTCTTCTCACATTTGATGCTTTAAACTACTCCCATGAGTGGAATAATATTTCCCCTTCTTTCTGTGTTTTAACAGTGTTTTGTACCAGGAAACTATGATTGCCTTAGATTGTTTCTTTCTAGGGAATGGCTTGATGTTATTTTGTATATTTTACTTTGTGTACTTCATATCTGTATCAATTGCATGTACCTTGTTGGCAGAGAGTATATAAAGTGACATAATAAGTAACATCCACAGTCATTACTGATCTGGACTGTTAGCCTTTTAATTTTTAAACAGCTTTCTTGAGATACAGTTCACATACTGTGCAGCTCGTTCCTTTGCAGTATATTCACAGAGGTCTGCAAACCTCACACAGTCAATTTGAGAGCTTTTTTTCACTTCAGAAAGAAACCCTGTACCATTGAGCTCTTGCTCACCAGTCCCCCCATTTCCCTAGTTGTTCTTTTTTTTTTTTTTAACATTTTTTATTGATTTATAATTATTTTACAATGTTGTGTCAAATTCCAGTGTTCAGCACAATGTTTCAGTCATTCATGGACATACACACACTCATTGTCACATTTTTTCTCTGTGAGTTATCATAACATTTTGTGTATATTTCCCCGTGCTATACAGTGTAATCTTATTTATCTGTTCTACAATTTTGAAATCCCAGTCTGTCCCTTCACACCCTCCACCCCCGCCAGTTGTTCTTTGTAACTTGTCCATGAGGAAGACTTGGCTGCTCTTCTGTTCACCTCGTGAAGTTAGGAATACTGTGCGTGCTTTGGTTTTTCATTTCTAAGTACCGTATTCATTTTTTTTGTGAGGAAATGCATTTATGAGGGAATTAAGGATTATTATTTTTGAACCTCTTATCCATTAATTGCTAAGAAATGCTTGATTTATTTCTAATACAGTATTTTATGAAATTACTTTTTTAATAACTGATAAGATACTGTATAGGTCTAAGATTCTCTCATAATATCCTCTAATATTTTCTAAATTCTGCTTTCATGATAAATCTCATTCATCCCATTACCAACTACAGCTGCATCTCTGGACCATCTTTAAGCTCAGTTATTTTTTTTTGAGGTTCAGAGCCTGGAACATAAATCAGATTTCCACATCTTCTTGTTAATGGTAGTAGTAAGGTGGCTACCATGTGAGCAGCTTACCATGTGCTGGCTACAGATAGTATTACCTGTAACCCTTAGAGAACCCTCCAACTGAGGAAAGGAAACTGAGGAACAAGAGGTTAAATCACTTGTCTAAGGTCACGTGTAAGTACCAGAGCTGGGATTTGAACTCAGGTCTGTGCAGTTCCAGAAAGCTGTGCTCCTAACTACTGCGCTGCGTGGCTGTCAGTTTTCTAATGTTTGCTAAGAGTCTGTCATTGAGATCTACATGCCAAACTGCCCTAACATTTGATTTAATGTATGTGCGCTCTGTCTGCCGTCTCTGAGTCATTCCCTATTTGGGACAGAACCAGTAATGAACAGGGTGGCGGCAAAGGTTTGTTGAAGTGAGCAGAGCCCAGGGAAAATAGATCAGAGAAGTTGTACTCTGCTTTCATGTGTCTGTTAATTATGTCTGACTTTGGGATGGAGCAGATCTTTCTAGATGTTGAAAATGTCTTGGCCTTTAGATAGCGTGTAATTTTTGATAAAAATTAGGTTTATAGTGTTGACGTGTAACTCATCATTTTCCAACAGATAAAGAGTTCTATTTGTCTCTTGCGAGGGAAGATCTACGATGCTCTCGATAACCGAACTCTCGCCACCTACAGCTACAAAGAGGCTTTGAAGCTCGATGTCTACTGCTTTGAAGCGTTTGACCTTCTCACTTCACACCACATGCTGACAGCTCAAGAAGGTCTGGAACCCAGGTGTTTTTGTGTTTGGCACCATTAATATTTTTGGGGTTGCTTTTTCCCTTGAAATCTGTCGAATCAAGAGCAGGCTGTGTACAGGGTTAAATAAGCCTGTTGAATAACCTCCTTAATGTCTTCAAATATGAAGCGCGTTGCAAAACGCAGTGCTGTTCAGTGCCTCTTGCAGTCAGTCTTCAGGGACTCTCTGACGTGATGAGTGACTTGAGGTTGTTTAAGAATTCATTATCTCGTTTAGTGATTCCCAACCTGGCTGAACTTTAAACCCTGAGGAGTTTTAGAAACATCAGTGTGCAGGTCTCAACTCCAGACCAGTTGAATCAGAATCTGGTGGTGGGGCCCTGGCGTCAGATCATTTAAAGCCCCCAAATGATTCTGAGGTGCAACAAGGGCTGAGGATTGTTGCCCTAGTGTGTAGCCAGTGATGTGAGGTGGATACGAGAGAAACAGAGAAAGTGCAGATATTGCACTGATGGGATTCAAACACATTTTAGCCTAAAGAGTGGTTCTAGGCCAGGGTGATTTTGCCCCTGGAAGACATTTGGCAATATCTCGGGAGAGTTTAGGTGGTCACAGCTTGGGGCGGGAGGCGAGTGGGAGGTTGCTGCTGACATCTGTTATGTAGAGGCCAGACACCCTGCAGATATCCTGCAGTGCATAGGAAGCCAGCACAGCAGAGAACTGTCCACATGGGGTTCAAAGCCGACCTGGTGGTTCTTAGGTCTGGTGATGACTAGGATTGCCTGGAAGGTTCATGGACAGCCCTCAAGGTGGGTCTCACTGCCAGGGTCTTAGTTTTCTCTAAAACATTCTGATCGTGTTATTTTTTCTTTTGAGCTCACTTTACTTAGACCAAGAACTATAAAAGAATATTTTCTATTGCTGGTTCTTCCCCCTAAATATTGTGAGGACATTTTTTTCTCAAAATGTTTTAGAAAAAGAACTTCTTGAATCACTACCTCTCAGCAAGCTCTGTACTGAAGAGCAGGAATTGCTACGTTTTCTATTTGAGAACAAATTAAAAAAGGTAAGTAAAAACAAAGTTAATTTTTGCGTCATACGAATTTTTTATTTTTTTCATTAAATTTAGTCTATTCTTTTAGTAGTTGAAAATTTTAAATTAATTTTTATTAATTTAGCACATTTGCAAGAATAGATTATTTTAAGTATATGATATGATTCCTAAAAAAGCTTCCAAAAATGTCTGTCTTCCTCCCAGGGACTCCTTATACTTGTAAAAGATTGAACTACCAGGTAACGGAGAGCTGTTGTGTGAAAATGAGAATTCTTTTCTTAAACTCCCTGAACTTCTACTTTGTAAAGTACTTCCTACCATGGAATTCTGTGATAAAATTGAGAAGAAATTAGACTTGTTGAGAGGAATACTGATGATACTTGAAATTAAAAAATTAAAAAGTTTCGAGAGGTTCACACGTGTCCACATGTGAATTCTTGAAACAGTTGGGCCAGATTGAGCCTGCCTTTCGACTTGGTGTTGCTCGTTGAGTTATGTTTCCATTTTTTCTCTATTTCAGTATAATAAGCCTAGTGAAACTGCCATCCCCGAGTCTGTAGAGGGTTTGCAGGAGAACCTGGATGTGGTTGTGTCTTTAGCTGAAAGACATTATTACAACTGTGACTTTAAAATGTGCTACAAGCTTACCTCTGTGTAAGTACACCCCCTTGCTTTTGTGTGGGAACAGAGTTCAGCCCATTTTACGTAAGAAGTGCCTGGGACTTGCTTTCTGAACAATCTTAGACTAATGGATGATCCTTTAAGCTGCCTTTTCTAGCTGCAGAATATCAAGGGGAGTATTGTCTTAAAAGAGCAATTTGTAGGTTTATGCACATTTGTCCCTTTATCCCACTAACTGGGGAGTATACATGTCCCTCCCAGTTGATAATTTGCAAGTTTGAAAATACAATTCTGGTGCATAGTTTTATGAAATCCGTTCTTTGTTAAAGTGGAGACTAATAAAATCCTACAGGTACCGGGTGTCAGGCTTACTAGCCAGGCCTCCTCCCCTAGTTTTCCAGTTCACACTTGTCCTTTAGCTGAATTACATATACTATTTGTAATGGATCTTTGGGATTGCTTGAAATCCTTGAATTCACAAACATTTTAATTGACAAATAGGTAGGATCTATTTAATAATTCATATTATTTTTGATCCTTCTGAATAATTGGACCACTTTTTTGTTACAGATCTATTAAAGTAAATGTATCTGATGATGTTTGTTTTTATTCCTTCTTAGATTAGAGTTCCCGCCCCCCCACCCCCATTTCTTTTATAGCCTAATCATCACCTTAACTGAACTTGCCTAAAGATAGCAGAGTCAGGAGAGTAAAAAAGTACTACAACCCACATTGTTGTACATAACACGGAAATGACTGCTCAGATGTAATCTGACTGTGACGAGTGCTGTTACGTGCTGTTTCTGGGGTCATGGTGGTTGCTTTCACTTTCAGAGTAATGGAAAAAGATCCTTTCCATGCAAATTGTTTACCCGTACACATAGGGACACTTGTGGAGCTGAATAAAGCAAATGGTAAGGTTTTTTTTTTTAATTAAAAAAATAATTATTAAGACTGAAAGTGTTCTGTAACTCTTGAAATTCTGTCTTATGAATCCTGGGTAATTGAAATCTTAGGTGACAGCTAGGGGATGAAATGCTTATCAAAGTAGCCAACAGAACACACCATTTCTTTATCCCTGCTTCCTGCTTCCTTTTCTCAAGTGTGGTTTGTGCTTTAAGGTATGTGAGCTTTTGAGTGATGGGTAGCAGTTTTGCCTTTTTTCTTTTTTGTAAAATCCGTAAGAAAGTTGATACAGCAAAAGTTAGTAACTTTAGAAACTGGCAGGGGGCAGAATTTTTCCTCTTGTTTCCGTAACTTAATATTTCAGAAACATTTGAAGTGTTTGAACTGTATTTGCCCTTAAGTCTTTTAGATTGAATAGTGAGCTGGTCAGGAGGATAATAGCCAGGCCCTCCTACTTGGAACCCTGCTGCTCAGAGTGTGTTTTGGGGACCTGTGGCACCACATCCCAGGAAGCTTGCTGGGGCGCAGGCTTTCCAGCTGCCCTGGTCTGTGGGGCTGTAGGGAACGTCATCGTCGATGTGCTGGGACTTGGTGTGACTCCAGAGATCGTCTTGCTGATCTGATGGCTTAGGAAGTTTGGTCAGCCAGGTCGGGTATAGGTGGTAAGATGGTCCATAAGGGCCCAGAGTAGGGTCGTGGCTTTAAGAGAGGTGAGGTGCTCTGAGGTAGCCTCTCAGGCACATGCAGGCCTTTGCCATGGCTGTTCATCCCGTCTTCTAGTCACTCGGCAAGCACTCTGTGCCCACTCAGGCTCTGGCATGGGGGAGGGGAAGGGGGGGGTTAAATGAAAACCGTTGTAGTGTCTACCCCATGGAGTTTCTGTATTGCCTCAGGTAGATGGATTTTCTATCTTGGAAGAAAGAAAAGTATGAAGTCATTGCTGTGAGAACAGAATTTATATGATTATGAAGAATTGTAACTGGGGAAAATTCATGTCTTAAAATTCATTTGATATGAGTAATTTTATTCTTTTTTTTCTTTTTGTCTACTGTAGAACTTTTCTATCTTTCTCATAAATTGGTGGATTTGTATCCTGGTAATCCTGTAAGTAAATATAAATCTTCTTTTTTCCTTATTGGGTTTTTTTCTTACCTGAACTTTAAGAAAATTCTTTAACTAGTAGTTAGACAAAGGCTACATTTAAGTTCAGGCAATAATGTTTTATCTGAAGGTGTGGGAGTGGAGTCTCCTAGCGCCTGTGATAATTAGAAGTAGCAGTTCCTTTTCCAACAAACGGAAGTATTTTCTTAGTCTGTAACTTTAAACAGAAATCTATTTTTTCTGATTATAGAAATTATATATATTTATTATTTTAAAAGGCTTAACATACAGAAAAATGAAATATTGAAAGTGAAAGTCATGCTCACACCTCTCATCAGCAATGCTAGTCACTGCTTAGCAGCTTTCTCCTGTGCATATTATAGGGCAACTAACGGATTGCCCACTGATTGAATCATTGTATCTACCAAACTGGATCAGAACTAAGACCTAGAAATTGAAAATGGAATCAGGAACTGTGTCCTTGAAGACAGAAGTCCTGAGTCAGGGTCTGAGTCTCAGGCAAGAATCTGTACCCTAGACCAGCCTGAAAATAATTTATCAAGAGGTGAGACCACTGCCCAAGAAGTTGGCTAACAAGGTGGAATGTGGTAGAACAGGGATTGGGCCAGGGAAGATACACAGTGCGGGTGGGAGGCCAGGACTCAGGCTGGTTGTGAAATCGGGGTGCCCAGGGGGCCTCGTCTATGTCAGGTGCTGTAGGGGCCTGGTTGAAGGCACCCTGAGGAAGGGCTGTAGAGAGTCTGTTCTCTTTTCATCTGGGACTGAGCACGCAGCCTGTCTCAGAGAGGTTTCTGACTTGAACTAGAATATGTGATGGAACGTCTGATTTGATCAGATTCCCAGTTCAGACATCTTTGGTCATGGTAAATTTTAAACTTTTTAGGTGTCTTGGTTTGCAGTGGGATGCTATTATCTCATGGTTGGTCATAAAAATGAACATGCCAGAAGATACCTGAGGTATGGATTTATTGTCTTTCTCCCTCTCAGTGAACCTGTAAGAGGTAATTTCTTGGTCTTCTGCTTTAATGCAGTGATTAGTATTACGTTTAAAAGCTGTGTGAAAGAATAAACGTTTCCTCAGGTTCCGTTCAATTTTATCACTTCCTGCTTTGCTCTTTTTAAGATGTCCTCAGGGGAGATAAAAGCAATGAGTGGGTAGACCTTGTTCTTAAGGAGCGTATGCTGTATTTAAATGCGTATTTATCAGTGAGGATAAACCTGAAGGAGTGAGGAACAGCAGAGTATTTTGAAAGTTTTCAGTTACAGGAATACTGTTCTCCTCCTCCTGTTAGGACTCGTATTGATAGTTGTGCAATTACATGAAAACTTAGAGTCACTAAATGTGACTATGAAACAGAATTCTTGGCCTGGTGAATGGTTTTGTGTAAGGATCTGCTGTGATTTTAGCTCAAGGAACTCCATGCAACCCAAGCAAGCTGGTTAACCAATGTTGGTCAATTACTCAAGTACCGGAAAATGTCTAGTATGTGAAGAATTGATTACTGAGGATTTAAGATATAATAGTACCTGTGATTTCCTCCATGTGAACCAAGTAGAAAATGGTCCTGTGGGAAATTTGTAAACTTTGGGTACAGACTTCAATTCTAATCCAAGTTCTGCCACTTACAGCTGTAATTCCTTGGGAGCATTCATTTCTCTGACCCTCTCTTTCTTTTGTAAAGATGGGAATGATGTAATATTTGTATCCCAGGATCGTTAGGGAAGTTGATAAGACAACAGATAATGGAAGAAGTGGGGAAGCTCTCTGGTTAGTTGAGTGGGAAACATTTTAGAAAGATGTGTTTGTGCTCTTTCCAGGAGTAGGGTGATTTGTGTTATAATAGTTCTTTTGAACTCTGTTGCTTTGATTAAGTGTGCTTACTCAGTAATCAGCTCTACATGAAACAGGGAATATGTGGGTAAAAGAAAACTTAGAAAATAAAATGCTCGAAAGTGGGAATCTCACTATTTATGTTTTCCTGGTTTTGTGATGTGTTTTCTTTATTCCTTCTGTGAGTCACCTAATTGAAGACTGTTTAAGACTGTGTAGTCTGGTCTTTGAACTAAGGTGAGTCACCTGACCATCCGCAGGGTACCACTTAGTCTTTCCAGCCTCAGTATACAAATTCTAAGATGTGAACAATAGTTTATTCTGAAAGTTACTGGGGTTATGTGGTGCATACAATGCACAAAACAGACCTTCGTTAAATGGTTGCTGCTACCACTGTAGACTAGGTTTCAAAGTGAAGCGCCTGGATTATGGATCAGGTGAGACTTGTAAACTTTACACAGGATGCTCATGGGCTCCACGCAGCACCTGAGAAGTTGTGGACCTTTCCTGAAGTTACTTGAAATTTTGCTTGTACTATTAAAAAACATTATTTTATTTCAGGTGAATTAACATAAATGTTACATTAGTGTTTAATATGTTGACAGCTCATTTATTTACTTAATTCTGATGTCCTTAAAGGCATCAACTTACATACAGCTAACTTAATTTGAGAATAAATACATACTTGAATGAAATCTCTTGTTCTAGCAAAGCTACGACGCTCGAGAAGACCTATGGGCCGGCGTGGATAGCGTACGGGCATTCATTCGCGGTTGAGAGTGAGCACGACCAGGCAATGGCCGCCTACTTCACAGCCGCACAGCTGATGAAAGGGTGCGCAGAGCAAGTCCATTCAGCAGTGAGATTTTATTCTGATGTCTCTGCCATGTGGTTGCTGAGCTCAACAGAAACGTAACACTGGTGTCTTGTTAGTAGCTTAGGATTGTAAAGTAACTTGGAAATGAAGGAGAAAGAAGCTGGTGTAGTGATTTTGCCCGGCAGTTTATCTTAACCAGTACAAAGGGGGCTGGCCGACTGGCTCAGGGAACAGAGGAGGATGGAAGCTGTTTTGCACATGCTCATACAGGAATGAAGGTATTCATGAGCAAAATTACTACTTACATCCTGCTTACGTCCAAATGCATTTATGTGGCTTAATTCATAATCCAAATTCAGAACAGAATCTGCCAGCACTGTGGATTGATACCAGCAGTAAATGTGTTGATGCTGAGTGGGTGTGCCCTGACCCTGACCCTGACCCTGAGAGTGCGTTACTTTGAGGATTGAGTTGCGGTTACTCCTGTTGATTCTTTTTAGAGTCGCCATTGGTTTCACCCTGCAGTGCTGTTTGTGTGGCTGCCTCTGCTCACCGCTGCCCATCTCCGCATGGAGAGGTGCCGGGTGTGGGAAGGTGCCTGCCTGGCGGTCTTGGCAAGGGATGTGCCTCTGGAAAAACAGGAATAATAGCATGATTTACTCCCAGGCTTACCATGAGGGGTAATTGAGATAATACCAGTTAAAGACTTTGTGAGTGTCTGACACGTGGAAAGTACTCAGTGAAAGTTGGTTACCTTCATTTCTTTGCTTGTAGGAGTCAGGAGGGGGATCCTGTGCTTCTCTGTATTGAGTTCATCTTACTAGGTTTGATATATCTTTCCAGACTGTCAGACCCATTTTGGCATCCAGTTCTGCATCTGTATTACCTGTGGCCCCAGCTTTTTTAGTTATATTAAATATGATATGTATGACTTTGATATCTACCTAGCCATCCATGAGAATATTGTAAAGGTACAGCTCCCTAGCTGCTCAGTCTGCCATAGCAAAATACCATAGACCAGTAGTTTGAACAACAGAAATTAATTTTCTCACAGTTCTTGAGTCTGGGAAGCCTAAGGTCAAGGTGCTCGCGGATTTGGTTCCTGGAGAGAGCTCTCTTCCGGGCTTGCAGATGGCTGCCTTCTCACTGTGTCTCACATGCCAGAGAACTAGGGCTGGTGTCTCTTCCTCTTGTAAGGGCACCAGTCCTCTTGTGTTAGGGCCCTGTCCTTCTGCCCTCATTTAACCTTTATTATTTCTTCACAGGCCCTCTCTCCAAATACAGTCATTGGGAGTTAGGACTTAACGTGTGGCTCTAGGGGAAGACACATGCATTCAGTCCCAAGTCTGTAATACTAGCGTATCACTAGACGACTACTCCAGATTAGAGTTGTTCAGCTCAGTACTGCTCCACCTCAGTGGTGCTCATACCCAGTCCTTCCTGTGCGGACGGGAGCCCGCTGGTTATGAGCCCTTCCTAGTGCTTTGCTGAAGCTTGACTCCAGTGTCTGCACGCACCCCTAGTCTATCAGGCTGGTGAACTGGCAGAAAAAAGTGACTGACTGTGTTTTTTATGACCACATGTTCAGGTCTGCTGATTTTATTTTGCTATCCTGGGTGTTCAATTCCAGAATACTTATTACTAGTTACTAGGTAGTTAGTAGCTAAGAATCAAAACCAGTGATAATCAGTGACGTAATTAATACCTTTAATGCTTTCCAGTTTGGCGCTCTTCTAGTTACACTTTCAAACTGGCTCATGAGGATAAGCATTATTTCTCTCTCAGTTTCACTTTCACACCAGAACAACTTTGCATTTTCTTAACGTGCCCTGTGTTTGGGTAATTGTTTGGAATTGCATACATGTTTTTAAATTTTCTTTATGATTCTTTGAGCCACTGGCTATTTAAGAGTGTGTTATCTAATTTTCACATATTTGTGAATTGCCCAGATCTTCAGTTATGACTTCTAACATAACTCCGTTGTGGTTGGAGAACATGCTCTGTGTGATGTCTGTCTTTAAATTTATTGGGCCTTATTTTATGACCTCACGTCGTCTGCCCTAGAGGATGTTCCAGGTGCACTTGAGACTTCTGCTTGTGCTGGATGCAGCGTCCTGTCGCTGTCCCTGGAGCCTGACTGGGTTGTAGTGTCGTCCGAGTCTTCTGTTTTTTTGTCGATCTTCTGCCTCGATATCCTGTCCGTTATTGCAAGTGGGCTACAGGTTTCCCCACTTTCTGCAAGTAAAGTGTTCCTGTGAAATCTTTTGTAAGCTGAAATTGCAGACAGTGAGGAAGCAGTTTTCTTTGTCATAAAGGCAGAAATCCTCTTCAGATTTCCTTTGATTAGCCAGACAGATAGATCTCTTGCAAAAGTGAAGTGGTATAAAGCACACCTTCGAACAGCGGGGGTCCCTGTATTGAAGTCTCCCACTATTATGGTTGAATTGTCTGTTTTTCCCTACAGTTCTGGCAGTTTTTGCTACTTGTATTTTGGGTCTTTGTTGTTAGATTCTTGATGGATTGGGCCTTTTATTGTTATAAAATGTCCTTTGTTGCTTCTGGTGATAAATTTTGTCTTAAGTCTGTTTTCTCTGATAGTATAGCCACTCCTGCTCTATTTTGGTTACTAATTGCTTGGTATATCTTTTTCCATCCTTTTACTTTCAACTTGTTTGTGTTTTTTGAATCTAAAGTATGTCTCTTGTGGACAACAAATAGTTGGATAATGGCTTTATTATTGATTCTGCCAGTTTCTTGCCTTTTGATGGAATTTTATCCATTTATGTGTAGTACAGTTACAGATGAGGTAAGATCTGTATTTGGCATTTTGGTCAGTTTTTATGTCATGAGTCTTTTTCTTCTATTCCTCACTACTTTTTTTTTGGTTAGATATTTTGTAATGTACCATTTTAATTGTTTTTTTAATGTTGTACATTTTTTGAGGGTTTTTTTTTAAAGTGCTTATCTTGGGGGTGATAATTAACACCTTAAAGCAATCTAGTTTGGATTAATACCAACTAGGGTGCTTTTCAATACCAGCAACCAGTTCTCTGATTCTCTAGACGCAGGCTGGGACCTACAGGTCCACTCAGTTCTGACACTGACCATCCAGAGGTAGTGCAGACCTCGTAGGTTAAGGGCTCAGTCTGTAAGACTGCCCCTCCCCACTCTAGATGCCAGTTGCAAATCCCGGGCCACTTGTACTTCGGCCTGACGGCTACTACTCAGGTTCCCACAACCCCCTCCTAAGGTTTGATAATATGCCAGAAGAACTCACAGAACTCAGAAAGGCATTTTGCTTATTGTAAGTGATGTAGCTCAGGAGCAGCCCAGTGGAAGAGATGCACAGGGCAGGGTGTGTGGGTGGGGACACACCACCCTCCCAGCACCTCCATGTGCTCGCCAGCCCAGAGGCTCTCCGAGTGTCATTGTCCAAGAGTTTTCACGGAGCTCAGGCTCTAGCTTCCTCTTCCAGGAGGCCTGTACGTAGGCCTAGAGGTTCCAGCTCTCACATTCCTTTATCTTCCTGGTGGCCTGAGATAAACTTGGGTGTGATCAGAGGGGCTCCTGGTATTCCGGAAATCTGTGCCAGCAACCAGGGGCAAAATTCAAATTTACTTACCTTCGGGCGCCCACTTAATGTCAACAGATCAGAAGAAGAGTTGCAAACAGGAATACTTGTGTACTTTCGCATGCTTACCTGTGTCGTCCCTTTGAACTCTTTACTCTTGTACGTGGATTTGAGTTACTGCCGAGTGTTCTTTCATTTTGGCCCGTGGGCTCTCATCGCTGTTTCTCGTTGGGCTGGTCTGCTGACAGCGAGTTCTCTGTAATGCGTTGTTAGGGTTATCTCCGTGTGTGGTGGTGTTTTCAAAGAGGCTTTGAGAGGAAAGGAGAGCAGGTATATATTCTCACTGTTGTTCTATTAGCCCTTTCTACAGTATCAAGCCGTCTTCCTTTGTGCCTGTGGATGAAGATGCTGTCGGGGTGGCTTCCTCACTCCAGCAGAGCTCTGCGCTCCCTGCCCCAGCGCTGTTGCTGGGAGCATCACACAGCTGGGAGCATCACGCTTCTGTGTGTGGAAGGCTTCGTCTTCCACACACAGAAGGCTGTTTATTTATAGACTTTGCTGTGTGATAATTACATATTCACCTTTACTGGTGCTTGTTTTTTCATGTGGATTTGAATTACTGCCTGGGGTCACTTCCTTCAGGCTATAAGAACTTCCTTTAGTGTTTCTTAATGAGTCTGAAATAGAATTTCTCAGTTTCTGTTCCTGAGAATGTTTTAATTTCACCTCCATTTTTAAGAGATAGCTTTGCTGAATATAAAATTCTTGATTGTCATTCTTTTTCTTCCTTTGAGTGTCATCCATCTGCCTTCTTGGCCTTCAGGTATTTGATTAGAAGTCAGGTGTTAATCTTATCTGGTATCTCTTGTTTGTTATTAGTTACATTTTGTTACTGCTTTAAAGATTATTAGTTTAGTGTTTACTTACTTACTTCGTCTTTTTCAGTGGTTTGACTGTGGTTTGTCTAGGTAGGGGTTGCTTGGGAGGTTTTTGAGCTTTGGGATGTGTTTGGCCCGAGTGTTGTTTGCTTTCAGTATTCTTTCTTTCCCCACCCCTTCCTTTCCCCCTTCGCCCTCTGGGGCCATCGTGCATGTGTCGAAGTGCTTGATGGTGTCCCAAAAGCTTGTGGGACTGTTCCTTCCTTTCATTCCTTTGTCTGCTCCTCAGACTGGGTAATCGTTTGATCTTACTCATGTTCACGGATTTTTTCTGCCTGTTCAAACTACCGATGAACTCTCCTAGCAAGTTTTTTATTTAGCTATTTTACTTTTCAGCTCCAGATTTTCTGTTTGGTTCTTTGTTATAACTTGTATCTGTTGTTGTCCTGTTTGGTGAGACCTTGTTCTCTTACTTGAGTTTTGTAGACATAATTCCCTTTAGTTCTTCGGGTATTAAAAACAGCTTACAGTGTTTCTCTGGTGAACCCAGGGTGTGGTCTTCCTCCGGAGTAGTTTCTGTGGCCTGCCTTTGTCCCCCTGTGTGTTGCCGTACTTGCCTGTTTCCTTGTGTGTCTCTTTATTTTTTATTGAAACTGGACATTTCAAGCACTATAATGTGGCAGTTCTGGAAATCAGGTTGACCCTACTCCACCCCAGAGTTTGTTGTTCTTGCTATTTGTTGTGGCTGTTTATCTGATGACTTTGCTGGACTCTTAAAAGTTCTGTGAAGTCTGTGTCCTTCATCACATGAGGCCACATGACAGGTTCTTTCCAAGCTTGAAATGAGTCTGCCCCTCTTCTGAAGGACCCTGCTCTGTACAAGGGCATGCCGGCAGTGTTCCCCTGGCTGGTACTTCTGCCTAGCCCTCTACACTTCCTGCTTGCACTGAGCCCCAGGGTCATCCAGAGATGGCAGATTGGGGCCTTCTCCAGCCTTTACTGTGCATGCGTATGGCCCTGTGTGTGGCCTTCTGGGTCCCTAGGAATATGTTGGGGTTCTTCAAACCCCTTACGGACATTTGTTCCCTAGATTTCCTGTAAGTTTTTGGTCAGCCTCTTGTTTGTCTCAGTTGGTACAGCTGCCTCAGGTTCATGTTAAACAGTTACCACCAGTTGTTTTCAACAAATGCCCTGGTAGGTAGATGTTTTTCTGGGTGAGCTCTGAGTCGGATCAGATAGAGATAAGCCATGAATGGGCCTTTCCAAGGATCTGCCAGATGGGGCACATTGTGACAGTCCTGTCAGTGTTTCAGGGACCCCAGATGCATTTTGTCCCCTCCAGTGGCTGCCAGGCTGCTAGTTTTCTCAGCTGGTGTGGAGCTGGGGAAAAGGAGGTGAGAATCGGACAAGTTCAGTGTCACAGGGTTTGCCATTCTGAGACTCAGCTGTTTTTTCTAGAGTAAATACTCCTCAGACTGTTGTAAGCTGTTGGGTAACTTCCAAAGTTCTGGAGTTTATTCTGACAGTTGTTGGAGGAATAGACTTTTGGAGCTCCTGACTATGCATTTCGAAAGTACTTCCTCCAGGTAAACACATGTAGAGGTTCTTCACGACCCTTCTGTAGACAGGACAGTCTGACTTCAGTCGTAATTGCAGATGAGAGCCAGTGCACATCGCGTGGACGGGGTCAAATCCGTCTTCAAAGAAAGGTTATCTTCCTGTGCTCCCTGGTCTGACAGGGCGAGGAGATGAAAGTTCAGTTAAGGTTAGTTATTCTGGGCCTGGACTGCTCCAGAGGCATGAAAATAGGGTGCGCACGACGTGGTTCTGAGCTCTTCAGCGCACACCCATAGCAACTGAAGGCATGCAGATCTGTTTAGGTGGAGGGTCTGAAGCAGCTTCGCGAAGGAAAGTGGAACTTGAACGCAGTCGTGAGGGGTGAACGTCGCTGAGTCAGGGAAGGAGAAGGAAGAAGACAGTCGGCTGGGGCCCAGCCCTTCTACTTTAGAGGGTTTTGTTTTTGTTTTTTACTACAGAAGAATGAAAAATAAGGGTAAACAGGTTGCTGATAGAGTCTAGATGTGGCAGCTGATTAGTCTAAAAGCCCATTAAACATTCATTAAATATAAGTAAATGAAGTGTTAGAAAAAAGGGAAGGTTTTAAAATTATTTTTGCAGGTGGGGTTTGACATCTGCTAAGTTACAAAGCTTTTGGTGTTGAATATGTGAAATTTTCCAATATTTTTAGGTGTCATTTGCCAATGCTTTATATTGGATTAGAATATGGATTGACCAATAACTCAAAACTGGCTGAAAGATTCTTTGGCCAAGCTCTAAGCATCGCACCAGAAGATCCATTTGTTATGCATGAGGTTGGCGTGGTTGCGTTTCAGAATGGAGAGTAAGTACTGAAAGGCCCGAGCCCTTCTGCTCCTCTTTTGTAAACAGAACAAAACCTTCATCACTAGAGCTTAACTGATCAGAGTGACTCTTCACAGATGTTTATTTTAGGGAAGGAGGTGGACAGTTAAAGAGAATAACAAGTGTTACCTTGGAATTCTTTAGAAATGCTAAGCCTGAGTTTTGGTCTCCTTTGCTGTGGGCTGTCACCAGCTGTTAGTTCTAGGATGGGACAGTTGTTGCCAACTCTGTCAAGTCACTGGAGCCCACAGGGTGGCCTGGAGGCCTTGCGGAATCCTTGGTCATCTCTTTGCTGGCTAGGAGTTTGGTTCACACATTTGAGAAAGATTTCCCACAATTTTGAAACAGAAGTACTTCTTTTTCAGTTACCGTTTAATCTGAAAATGAAACCAATTAGAATGACCCAGTTTCTGAGTTTCCTGGTCGGTAGCTGAAGCATTACTGTAGTTTTGGATATTTATAGAATAAGTAGTTCAGTGTCAATTAGAAATAGAACTAGCTATAGTCCTTTGCACTAAACTATGTAAGTTTTAAAACAGTAAATTAGTACTACTGTAGTGTTTTTCGTGTGTATTCTAAAAACTGGATTATCTTGTATTTATAAAAGAGTTTGGAGCCTTTTTAATAATGTATAGTAACAATTTAATATGTAGTCAATTTATTTGTCACCCTGAAGTCGGCACTTGACAGTGTTTTCACATATGCGAACGAGGGTGTGTCCCAGTGGAGGTCAAACAAGTTGTTCTGCCTTCTTGTTTCCACCCCTATACTGTGAGCAAGTGTTCTTTCTGCAGTGCATTTGGTGCCCCCCTGATTTGTGTGCCTTTTGTTGGCTGCTTCACTGTTCAAAGTGCTCCCAGATGGAGTGCTGAGGCGCCAGGCAGTGTCCGAAGCATGGAGGCGGGTGCTGGGCAGAGCACATGTCCAGTGAGCCTGGTGGCGGGGGGTGGGGTGGTTGTGCTGCTGGCGTGGGCTCAGGGCTGTGAGTCAGCACCATACGCTAAGTAAGGTGTTGCCAGAGAGAAGCAGGTACGGAACAGATACACTGAGCACGGGGTGAAGATGTGAGCAGAGTTTGCAGTCTTTCCCTGGGAGCCGGGGTTTGGCACTGGCTGGAGTGGGGCTCACAGTGACTTCGTAGAAGATAATTTCCTGGAATGTTAAGAATATGCTGTATCTCCTAAAATCTTCGCCTCTTGTGATGTTGAGTCATTTATCTCACTTAAATTTGAATTTTAATAAACTATTTTCAGAAGTTTACCTCGTATCTTAATATTACTGGAAAGAGATACATTTTTCTTAAAATGTTTGTACATGCTAATTTTGAATAACCTGCAACCTTTTCCCCTCTATTTCAGATGGAAAACAGCGGAAAAATGGTTTCTCGATGCTTTGGAAAAAATCAAAGCAATTGGCAATGAGGTATTCTATGTAATACCTGTAAACACACACACACACACTCATAATTGTGCTTACTATTAAATGAAAAAAAATCCTGCTAGACAGCGTGTCTTGCCTTGAATGTAACGAGCTGGTGTTTGTCAGTGTTTGAGCTGTCCTGGCGCAAAGTGAGTTTGCTTCTAATTGAGAGGGCAGGTGTTGGCTGTTTGCTTCTTAAGCGGCTCTAGTTTTGGGCTGTGGGATTAGACGGAATACGTTTGATATGGGAAATACGTGCTGATCAGTGGAAGCTGGTAGGCACTGTGGCATCCAGCATGTCCTTTCTGAGAACTTAAGAGCCTCGTCTTTGATTCCAGGAGTCTGGGATGCGGAAAAGGGTTAGATGTCATTAAATCGGACCTCTCATTGCGCTTCCTTACCTGGTACTTGATACGTATTTAGATCTTTAACTAGGGTCCGTCGTGTGGAGCATGTGTGAATTCGTGCTGACAAACTTTCCAGCCAGCGTGGCTGCGTCAGCACTGCTGTTACTTAAACTGACAACGGCTGTAGACACCGTGAGTGTCTGAGGGTTGCGGGCTTGCTTGTTGCGACTCTTTGGTTCCTGGTTCTTTTTATTCTCGCCTGTGTCGTTTTATTCTGTCTGATTATCACTTCCCAGTTTCATTCTGTTCCTGGCTGGCACACCTGCCCACAGCCCGCATCTTCCTTCGTTGCGAGTTCCTCTTTCCTGAGGCAGACACAGCTCCCCGGGGCCCTGCCAGGTGGCAGTTTACCTGTCCCTGGAGACAGAGCTTCGTTTACTTTGCTGTCTTCTTATTTGTCAGGTGAGCTTAGAAACACTGTACTTCTGTGTGTCTGCACATGGAGGTACGTGAAACAGGCTCTTCCACAGCTCAGCCTCGGGTGGGCTTGGCAATACATGTTTCTGGAGTATAGGTTGCCACTTACCACCTTGCCAGTTTTCAAAGAGTTGAATCCCTTAGGACCTTGCTACTCAAGACGGGACCAGCGCATCAGACTGGACCTCGGAGCTCGTTAGAGGTGCAGACCCTCACTCCTACTGAGCCAGGGTCTGCAGGGTTAGCGGGGTCCCCAGGTGGTTCTCAGGCACAGAGAAGTTTGGGCTGCATTGTCATAAAGCACACTTGAACTTGAACTGTGTGCTTTGATGATCAGAAGACACTGTGGATTCTTACAGACATTTAAAGTAATGGTTTAATTACGAAAGCACAAGACTATTAAACTTTCAGAATGCCCATTAAAGGGTTATATGCAGAGGGGGAGATACTGTGTGACTTAGTTATAAACTGCAGCAAATGTCAGAGTAGCCACAGGAAAGCAGTTGTGCCCAGGAATCATTAAGGATTTGTTTTGCTGACGTGGGCAGTGCCTCCTAGAGCCAGGCTCAGGGCATCAGAGAGTGCTGCCCGGGTCTGTTTGTTCACCTGGTCCTGACTCACTGCTCACGTCAGCTGTGTCCGAGGCTCTGAGCTGTGCGTTGGGAGGGAACAGAGAATGGTTCGGTGTTGACCGTCTTCAGGTCTGTCGGGCGCGTGGACAAGTAAACTGGCAGTGATGACAGTGCATGGAGCGGCTCTGGTGGATGGAGTAAGGGAGGCCTCACAGACTTGAGGGCAGGTCCAGGAGGCCTTGCGGCCACGAGGACACACACCTCAGTTCTCAAGGACGGATGGACGGCAGGCGGCAGAAATAAGGAAAGGGGCGTTTCAGGTGTAGAGAATGGTGTGTGTGAAGTTGGAGCTGGGTCAGTGTGGCTCGGATTTTGAGCTCACAGAGAATGTCAAGAAACAGGGTGGGAGGGCTGAGTGCAGGTCTTCAGGGGCCTTAAACACAACGTGAGAGTTTGCACCTTGTCCTGAGGTGGCGGGACAGTGAGAGGGTTAGGACGGGCAGTCCGGTCAGACTCACGAGGCCCACAAGGCTTGTTAATGGGGGTGCAGTTCTGATGAAGAGGCTGATGAACAGGCCTCCGTGACCCTGGAGGGGTCAGGGAGGACGTGGGTGCTGAGGGCAGGGGTGACACTGGGGAGCTGGGATGGCAGGAGAGACAGCGTAAGAGTTTAGCATGTGGCTTGTTGGGGTTGAAGTACTTGTGAGATTTCTGAGTAGAGATATTTGGGAGGCAGATGGAAAGCTCTGGCCTGGAGGTAAATTTGAACTTCTTCAGCACAGAGGGCTCCTTGACAAGTTGTACTGTTGGGATACTGGAGTCCTCAGGATGTCTCGTCTGGTAGGGAAGCTGGAGGTGCTGGACACTCTTGCCTGGTGCTGTGGGAGCACCAGGAGGGAGCCCCTTGCTCATGAAGATGCTTGAGTCAGCCCGATGCAGACACTTGGGCTGAAAAGCACAGTGTAAACCCTGCATCTGATGTTGCTCTGTTTTAGGTGACAGTTGACAAATGGGAACCTTTGTTGAACAACTTGGGGCATGTCTGCAGAAAACTTAAGTAAGTGAAGTAAAGCATTTTTAGAAATATTCTTTGTGACTAAAACTTTGCTTACTTTTGTGTAGCCTTTTCCACATTTTGTAAGATCCTCCAGCTTTCTTGTACTTGGCTACTCAGATTTAACAAGGACCAAAATAATTGTTTTTATTATCTCTGTTGGTATAATTTTATTTTAGAAATACATTGAGAATTATAATAACTTTTATTTTCTTAGATTAAAAATTTTTAATGTTCAGAATTGGGAGAATTAAGACAGCAGGCCCCATTTAAAACCGTATCCATCCCTCACTCTCTGTTTTCCTCTGGTTACCAGTTTTGTGATGTGACAAACAATGACAATTGAAAAATAGATTCTTTGGGTAAATAAGTTTGGGAAACTTGAGGCTACTCAGAATTTAGCAGGTTTTTCAGGATTTCTTGGAGTCTTTACTATTTATTAATGAACTGCAGCATTTCCCAAACATTATTGAGCACAAAACCGTTTTCTCACAAAAGGTTTTACAGGGCAAGGATTCCGGAGAGTTTTGGGACATGCTGCTCCCAGTAAGTCCTGTGGACCTTAAAGCATAGCTGTCTGGTTGCTTTTAACCACCACTGGTGTGGGGGCTTGTCTTCTCATCCAGAAGACCCTGCCGGGTGATGGTCGAGAGTGGGGCTCTGCTTTCAGTCTCCCGCCAGGCCCCACACCAGGCCCCACACAGAAGGCAGCTGATAGCCCTGCAGGAGTGCCACCCCGGCGGGAAGGCAGGAGGACACACGGAGGGGGTTAGACACACCGGTGGGGTGGAGGCTGTCACAGTCTGGACGTTACTCTGATAGAGGAAGGAGTTTCTTTCTCGTGTGTTCTTGTAGGCGCATGCTTTTCCGGACGTGGTACCCACTGATTGTTCTCTCTCCTCCTGTCCTCCTCTCTCCTGCCTCCCTCACAGGAAGTACGCGGAGGCCCTGGACTACCACCGCCAGGCCCTGGTGCTCATCCCTCAGAACGCGTCCACCTACTCTGCCATCGGGTACATTCACAGTCTGATGGGCAACTTTGAGAACGCCGTTGACTATTTCCACACAGTATGTCTCTCGTTTGTGCCTAACTTTAAATCTTGTTACATTTACCACTTTTTTTTTAAGATCTCTTCTAGGCAGTGTTTTGTTACTTTACAAAAGTACAGTTTAAGTTTATGCTTAAAAATTCTTCAAGCAACCTGTATTTTATTGTTTTCTTTGCAGGGAAGAGTCTGTGCACGTTGTACAGTGCTCATCAGAATAGAAACAGTTGTGAGACCCGTCCTGAGTATCAGTGAGACGCGGGTCTGGGGTGTTCTCCAGCGCAGTCTCAGCTGGGTGTGCGTCTGTGGGAGCCCTCAGGGAGCTCGCCTATTTATGACTGTGATTAATTCCCTCAGACCACGTTAGTAGATGGACAAACTGTTTGCATTCATCACAAGGAAAGACTCTCTCCTTAATCCATACACAGTATTTCATCAAGTCTGAGACACCATCAGTAAGCAAGATGATCACACGAAACAAATGCGCTGCCATTTAAACTTTAACACAGTTCTAGCCTGTTGTTTCAGGTTTTCTTTGTACTTAGAAAAAGTGTTCTTCTGGACATATGAGGACATAGATTTTTATCAGGGATCACTCTAATACCTACATAAAAAAAGAAGATGGAAATGAAAGGTGTTCAGTTCTTCACACTCAGTTTGGTTCTTCTAAATCAGTATTCCTGTTTTCCCCAAATTGTGTCCTGTGTCAGTGCTCACACCCCACTCTTCCTTCAGGTTCCTCCCGGCCAGTGGCATTGGCTCTGCCAGAAAGGGTCACCAGAAGGTTTTTAGATGACAGCCACAGCTCAGGTGTCTTCTTTAAGTGTTCCTCACGTGGTCTGTGGTCTAGTCCATGCCACAATGAGGCCACCAAGTCCACGCTGCTGATGCAGGTACCCTGATCACAGCTGTGGCTGGCTGACCGCAGCAGTAAGGAACCTCCGGTTGAAAGACTTCCCCAGTTCAGAAGTGCTGGAATTTGAAAAAAGTGGTGAAATAACTGTATTTGGAGAAAGAGATAAAATATGAGAAAATTCTGTGTTTTAAAGGTGAAATTTGTGAGTGATAGACTTTCAGGCAGGATGATCCTGAGGTACTGCTGAGACACCTAGAGCACGCATGGAGCGACTCACAAGTGTGACTGGCAGCCTTATAGTTCATGTGACCTTTCAGATGTCTGTACGTGTCTTCTGTGATTTAGTTAGTAACAAAGGGCTCTCTGGAGGTGGAGTCTTTACCATCTTTTGGAGGAGGGGGTTTCAGACACAGAAAAGGAAAAGAACAGTGTGATGACCCTCTGTGTCTTGTCACCCAGTTTCAGCAGTATCGAGACGTGTCCCCTGGTGATGGCTGTGTCCCCACAACTCTCACCTCCTCCACCCCCACCCTGGGTTCCCTGGCGTATGTTGAATTGCATCCTGTGGGACTATTTTCAGCCAAAGAGAAGGAAGTAAGTTTTCCTGTAATAACCAAGCTGCGTCTTTCCTGGCAGGCCCTGGGTCTTCGGCGAGATGACACCTTTTCTGTCACGATGCTTGGTCACTGTATTGAAATGTACATTGGTGACTCTGAAGCCTATATCGGTGAGATTATAATTATTCTTGTTGATGTTGTATTCCGTTGTTTAGACTGTCGTTTATCTCTGTTTAGGTTTCTCAAATTCTCATGCACTGTCCTCAGTTTATCTTTCTAATCATCCTAACTGCGTTAATATCAAGGAACTCCATTTATTTCAGTTGAACAATGTTGTGGGAATTAGTGATTCATTAAGTGTCCATTTAGTTTAAAGTTGAGTACTACTATAAGCAAAATACTGTTACAGAATACGCATAAAGCAGTGTGATGTACAGGAATCAGTCTAATTGCAACACTGAAAAAATCTTGAGAGATTTTTCTAATAAACAAATGAAAGAGCTTTGGCCTCAGTATTTTACAATGCAAAGTGTAGCATGTTGATCTTTGCACTTCAGTGGAACATTAAGTTGGCTTACATTCATATTACAGCGCTATATAGTTCTTTAACTTTTTTTTTTTTAAGATTAGCAAGTCATAAGATAAGCTTGTATGGAGTTGCTGCACTTGGGCGTCATTTAGTTACGAACATTTTAAGGTAAGGAGGGTTTCAGTGAGGTTAAGTTTTGAGACCTGGACTTTGGGGTAGGCAAAGATTTCTTTAACAGGATGTAAAAGCTGTTAGGAGGAAAAGATGGTAAATTAGGCTTCAATAAAATTAAGAACTAATGTCTACCCAAAAACACTATTAACAGAGCAAAATGGCATATCATAGACCAGGAGAAGTCACCACAATATATAGACTTATCAGAGAACTTGTGTCGTGAATACGAAATCCTACAGTAAGGAAAAGTTCAGCCAAAAATGGGCAAAATACTTGAACAGGAGCTTCACCAAAGAGGATATTCAGATAATTAGAAAGCAAATGAAGGTGCTCAGTACCATTACTTACCAGGAAAGTGAAGTAGAAATCACAGTGAGGCAGCACTGTGGACCTGCCAGAGTGGCTAAAGGTGCGAAGTGCCGGTAGCACCTCGTGTTGGTGATGACGCGTGCATTACTGGTTGTTGGTGGGGTCCAGCAGGTAAAACCTCTTTGGAAAACTGTTTAACAACACAGCTACTGACGTGGAACAGGCCTGTCATATCTGTTACCTGTTGCTGCCTGACGCTGCTCCGACCACAGAGACACACTGCTCCTCGCAGCCTGCGGGCTGGCTGGCTTGTTTGGTGATCTCGTTCACTTGATGGGGCTGACGTCCAGAGTGGCCTTGTCTGCAGGGTTCTCACCGGAACAGCTGGGCTCTCCGTGGGTCTGTATCCCAGTCTCTTCAGAGCACCATGGCCTCAGGGTCCTGAGGGGCAGTATCTAAACCTTCAAGACCTCTTGGGCTGGAAGTTGCACAAAATCACTTTCATCGCATTCTGTACATCAAAACGGGTGACGCGATTAAGTGCAGAGTCCACACAGGAGAGTCAGGGTTAGGGATAGGGTTCAGGGGCATGGGTGATGGGAGGTGTGGCTCGTTGGGGGTGATTAGGGCAGTGAGTGACCTGCCACACCGACTTTGTGATGTAGCGGTCATGCTCCTGGGTTATGCCCAGGAGAAACAGGTGGCTCGGTGAGCTGGTATTCACTCGCAAGATTGCACACAGCAGCTTCATTCCTGGCAGTGTCTCCTGCACATGACCGACTGTGTGTCAGTAGGAGATGGAGACCACTGCGCACTTCAGGGACCAGCTACTGAGTCGTGTTGTAGCATGCATGAATCTCACAGATTTTGACCAGAAAAGAATAAATGATTAATTCCATTTTTACAGAGATTAGCAATAAGCAAAACTAACTGGTGGTAGAAGAATTGGAGCAGTGATTGAAAAGGGAAGTGTTCATTAGGGAGGCCTGAGGAGGTTTTCTAAGAGCTGGGAGTGTTCTGTTTTGGTCTGGTGGTGCTGATGTGGGTGTGCACATAGGTGAGAATTCACCTAGCTGTGCACGCTTTTTGGATTGTATGTCATGGCTCAATGTTTTAAAACTTAAAAAACAAAGAAAGGACTTGAACTCTGTCATCCTGAAGACCTTGGGCTGGAGTCTCAGCTTTACCGCTCAGTAGTGGCTTTGGGGCCAGTGTGAGGCTTAGTTTCCACGCTTGTCCGAGGAGGAGCTGTAAGGCTTAAATGCAGAAGTCCTATGAAGTTAGGCAAGGTCTGGAGAAACAGTGCCGAGTGGGACAGGCATTTTACCTGTCCTCACAAAGGTAATGGCCTCGGAGGTGCGGAGGCTGCTGAGCCCCACTAGGCCGAACCTGCCTGTGCTTCTGAACGTCCTCCCGGCCGTCCCCCTTCATAGTAAGAATCAGAAGAGCAGGGGAGAGACTGGAACATCTTTCTCCGAAGCTGTGCTTGTGCCCCTGAAAGTACATTCGGCCTAAATGACGGAGTAGTGTTACGTATCGATGGAAATGGCAGGTAAGTGGAATCTCTTACTTTGTTCTCACTCTGGCATTTCTCTCTTTCTAGGAGCGGACATTAAAGACAAGTTAAAGTGCTACGACTTTGACGTGCATACAATGAAGACGCTAAAAAACATTATCTCACCCCCGTGGGATTTCAGGGAATTTGAGGCAGAAAAACAGACTGTGGAGGAAGCAGGGCTTGCGCCGCTGGCAGCCTCAAGGAAGACTCCAGATTCCAGGCCTTCCTTGGAGGAAGCATTTGAAATCGAAATGAATGAAAGCGACATGATGTTAGAGACGTCCATGTCAGACCACAGCATGTGATTCCATGCGGGCCACTTCCACGCCGCCGGAGCGGTTGCGTTTCATCCTCCTGCGGCTCGAGAGTTGCCCGTCCCTCATCACGCTCATCACGCACCCCGGCCGCACGTCTGCATTCGGGAGTGGAGACCTGGCCTGAGGGACTGGATGGCACACCTTTGCAGCACATGTTGTCTGGCCCTACAGAATAGCTATATGAAGTGAAATAAAGAAGGTAAACCCTCGTTTACGTCTTTTTTTCTTTCTCAGTAGATTTTTATTTTGGACTAATTTTAGATTTACAGAAAACCTGCAAAGGTCGTACAGAGAGCTTCCGTACATCCCCAGCTGGTCCCCCGTTGATAACGTCTTGCATCCCGTGGGACTTTTATCATGACTAAGAAACCCACGTTGGTATGTTTCCAGCAGCTAAACTCCAGACGCTTGAGTATCACCCATTTTCCCACTGATGTCCTCTTTCTGTGCCTGTGTCCAGGGGCCACGCGGCCCAGTCTCCACTTCCCCCAGGCACCTCTTGTCTGTCATGAGCTGAACGTTTTGAGGAGGACTTGTCAGATATTTTCTAGAATGTCCCTCAATTTGAGTTTGTTTTGAGTACGTCTCATGATTGTTTTGTTAACTAGTTTTGAGTATTTCTCATGATTAGACTAGGGTTAAGGGTTTTGGGGAAAATACCTCAGTTGTGAAGTACCTTTCTCCTCACATCACGTCAGGGTGCCCAAGGTCAGTGTGGTGCACCGCAGGAGGTGCTGGCCTTGTCCCTGGTGACGGTGGTGTCTGCCAGGCCTCTGCACTGTAGTCAGCGTTTCCCTTGCTGTGCTGTGTTCTTAGACGTCAGTCACTAGGGCCAGCCCACCCTCCGTCGGACTAGGGTTTAAGCTCCATCCTCGGGATTGTGGGGTGGGGGTATCTGCACATATTATTTGGAATTTTTCTGTAATGAAATTTCATCTCTTCTCTCCAATTTATTTATTCGTTTTATTTATCCCATTTATTTATTTATCAGTGTAGACTGCTGTTATATATATTTCCTATTTTAGGTTAAAATTCTGTACTAATATTATTTATTTTGTGGCTTCAGTTGTTTCAGCTTTGGCCATTGGAGCTCTCTGAGCTGGGCTTCTGTGTCCCTGTGACTTTCCTTTTGGTGAAGTGCACAGGACATAAACTGTGGCCTTCAGTGAACAATCGCGAGCGCTGTTGGTGACAGCTGCACCACTTAGTGCAAGACAGGTGTGGGGGGAGGTTAGCGTACGGGGCTCTGCCTCTGCTCACCTAATGCGCTGAGAAACAACGTGTGTGCCGGTGTGGACAGATAGCCTTTTTCACCGTTTTCAAGGGTATAATTCAGTGGCATTTATTTCCAGCTTTTCTTCATCACTGCAAACAGAAACTTTGTCCCCATTAAGCAGTAATTCCCCACTTGCCCGCCTTCAGCCTGTGGTAACCTCTAATCTAATTTCTGTCTCTGAATTTGCCTGTTCTGGATAATTTCATGTAAGTGGAATCATACAGTATTTGTCCTTTTCTGTTTCGTTCATTTTATTTAGCATAATATTAGCATGTTGGAGCTTTTATCAGAACTTCATTCCATAGTGTTGTGGCTGAATGCTATTCCAGTATGTGTATGTTTACCACTTACCTACCATTTATCTGTTGGTGGACATTTGGGTTGTTTTCACCTTTTAGCTACTGGCAATATTAATTTTTTGAGGATGTGGCACACTTTTTTCACAGTGGCTGCACTATTTTACATTCCCACCAACAGTGCACGAGGGTTTCAGTTTCTCCGCATCCTCACCGCTGGTTTTTACTGGGTTTTTTGGTTTTTTTGTATTGACTGTAGCCATCATAGTAGGTGGAAGTAACACCTCATTTTGGTTGATTTGCATTACCCTAGTGACTAGTGGTGTTGAACAGCTTCTCCTGTGCTCATTGGCCATTTCTGTTTCTTCTTTGGAGAAATGTCTATTCAGATCCTTTGCGCACTTTTAAATGGAGTTGTTTATCTTGTTGAGTTGCCGGAGTGCTTTGTGGATTTTTGATATTAAACCATTGTTAGGTCCAAAGTATGCATGTATTTTCTCCCATTCTTTGAGTTGTCTTTTGACTCCCTTAATTATGTACTTTGATACACAAAAGTTTTTAAATTAATGAAATCCAATTTATTTTCTTTCATCTTTGACTTTTGTAGACTGTGCTTTTGGTGTCATATTTAAGAAACTTGCTAAATCCAAGGTTATGCAGAGTTTCACTATGTCTTCTTCTGAGATTTTTATAGTTTTAGGTCTCACAGTTAGGTCCTTGATCCATTTTGAGTTAATTTTTGTATATGGTGTGAGGTCCCGCTTCATTCTTCTACATGTGGATGTCCAGTTTCCCAGCACCATTTCTTGAAGAAACTATTGTCCTTGTCCTGTTGAATGGTCTTGGTGCCCGTGTTGAACTGATGATAAATATGAGGGTGGGTTCTGGGCTCTGAACTCTGTTCCTTTGGTCCCTGTGTGTGTCCGTATGCTAGTGCCACACTGTTTTGTTAACTATTTCTGTAATAAGTTTTGAAGTTGGGAAGTGTGAGTTCTCCGACTTTGTTATTTTTCAGGGTTCTTTTGACTATTTTGGGTTCCTTGAATTTCCATATTAATTTTAGGGTCTTTCTTTTTTCCATTTCTGGGACAAGAAAACCATTGGGATTTTGATAGGGATTTCATTGAATTTGTGTGTCTTCTTAATATTATGTCTGATCCATAAACACAGGATGTCTTTTCATTTATTTATCTTTAATGTCTTTCAGCAGTGTTTTACAGTCTCCATTGTACAAGTCTTTCACCTCCTTGGTTAAGTTTATTCCTAAGTATTTTATTCTTTTCAATGCTTTTGTGAATGGAATTGTTTTCTTAATTTTATTTTTGGATTGTTCATTTCTAGTGTATAGAGTTAGAACTGGTTTTTGTGTGTAGACTTTGTATCCTGAATGTGTTTATTAGTTTTAACAAATTGTACGTGTGTGTGTGTGTGTGTGTGTGTGTGTTCTTCAGAATTTTCTATGTAATAGGATCATGTCATTTGCAAAAAGAAGTAGTTTTACTTCTTCCTTTCCAGTTTGGATTCCTTTTGTTTCTTTTCCTTGCGTAACTGTTGGCTAAGCCAGTTCTAGTATTTTGCTGAACAGAAGTGGCACAAACAGGCATTTCTCATCTTTAAAGGACAGCTTTCAGGCTCTCTTATTAGATACATGTATGTTTATACTTGTTGTAGCTTCTGAATCCATGTAAAATAAGCAGATGATTATCAGTAACATGTCATTTTTTTCATTTTTTAATCAAAGTATAGTTGATGTACAATATTATATAAGTTACAGGTGTACAGTGGTGATTCACAATTTTTAAAGATTGTATTCCATTTAAAGTCAAAATACTGGCTATATTCCCTGTGTTGTACAGTACATTCTTGTAGCTTATTTATTTTATACATAGTAGTTTGTACCTCTTAATCCCCTTCCCTGTCTAACTCCTCCCCCTTCCCTCTCCCCACTGGTAACTACTAGTTTGTTCTCTATATCTGTTTCTTATTTGTTATATTCACTAGTTTGTTGCATTTTTTAGATTCCACATATAAGTGATATCATATGGTATTTCTTTCTCTGACTTACTTCACTTAGCATAGTACCCTCGAAGTCCACCCATGTTGTTGCAAATGGCAAATTTTTACTCTTTTTAATGGCCGAGTAATACTGTTATATATATATATGTATCTCACACATCTTCTTTATCCATTCTTCTGTTGATGGACACTTAGGTTGCTTCCATATCTTAGCTACTATGAATAGTGCTGCTGTGAACATTGGGGTGCATGTATCTGCTTGAATTACTGTTTTTGTGTTTTTTTTGGATACTTACCCAGGAGTGGAATTGCTGGATCATATAGTAGTCCTATTTTTAGTTTTTTGAGGAACCTCCATACTTTTCCATAGTTGTTGCACCAATTTATATTCCCACTGACAGTGTATGGGGGTTCCCTTTTCTCCACGTCCTTTCCAACATTTGTTACTTGTGTTCTTTTTGACAGGTGTGAGGTGATATCTCATTGTGGTTTTAATTTGCATTCTCTGATGATTAACAATTTGCATATGCATCTTTTTATGTGCCTGTTGGCCACCTGCATGTCCTCTTTGGAGAAATGTCTGTTCAGGTCTTCTGCTTGTTTTTTACTGAATTTTTTTTTTTTAAGTTGTATGAGCTGTTTATATATTTTGGATATTAACCCCTTATCAGTCACATCATTTGCAAATATTTTCTCCTATTCTTTAGGTTGTCTATTTTTGTCAATGGTTTCCTTTGCCGTGCAAAAGCTTTTAAGTTTAATTAGGTCCTATTTGTTTTTTGGGTTTTTTTTCTTTCTTTCATTTCTTTTGCTCTAGGAGACGAATCTAAGAAAATATTGCTAAAATTTATGTCAAAGAGTGTTCTGCCTATTTTTCTTCTAGGAGTTTTATGGTTTCCAGTCTTACATTTAGGTCTTTAATACATTTTAAATTTATTTTTTGCATATGGTGTTAGAAAATGTTCTGATTTCATTGTTTCACATGTATCTGTCCAGTTTTCCCAGCACCACTTATTGAAGAGACTCTCTTCTCTCCATTGTATTTTCTTGCCTCCTTTGTTGTAGATTATTGACCACAAGTGTGTGAGTTTATTTCTGGGCTCTATCCTGTTTCATTGATCCATGTGTCTGTTTTTGTGCCAGTACCATACTGTTTTGATTACTGTTGCCATGTAGTATTGTCTGAAGTCAGGGAGCAAGATTCCTCCAGCTCTGTTCTTTCTTAAGATTATTTTGGCTATTCAGGGTCTTTTGTGTGTGCATACAAATTTTAAAGTTATTTGTCTTAGTTCTATGAAAAATCCCCTTGGTATTTTGATAGAGATTGCATTGAATCTGTAGATTGCCTTGGGTAGTATGGGCATTTTAACAATATTAATTCTTCCAACCCATGAACACACTATAGCTTTCCACATGTTTGTGTCATCTTCAGTGTCTTTTGTCAGTATCTTATTCTCTTCCAAGTACAGGTCTTTTACCTCATTAGGTAGGTTTATTCTTAGGTATTTTACTCTTTTTGATCTGCTGGTAAGTGAGATTGTTTCCTTAATTTTTCTTTCTGATCTTTCATTGGTAGTGTTTAGAAATGCACAGATTTCTGTATATTAAATT